TGTTTAAGACCACTAAGAGCTTCTAATGCAGGTGAAGTCCACTGAGCAGCCATTAAGAACCTACTACACACACCACCACCACCATCCCTACCACTACCACCTCCTCCCCTAACACCACCACCACCACCACCACCACAATAACAACAACAGAAAATGAAATAACTTTTAAATGCAGCATGCAAGGCAACGATTCGGTGGTAGAATGCTTGCCTCCTATTAATAGCTACATAGAAACTATACTAATAAATGCACTGCTCAAATATTTTCAATTCCACTCATTAAAATATATCATTTGGAGTCTGGAGAGAGGATCTGTACTTAACAGTACTAAATGTTCTTTCAGAGGACCCGAGTTTGGTTTCCAGCACCCAGGTGAGGTGTTCATAACTGAGTGTAACTCCTGCACCAACAAGATCTGACGTTCTCTTCCGGCTTTTGGGAACACCTGTATTCACATGTATGTATATACACAGAGACATACCATATACACATAAATAAAAATACATCTTAAAAAATACACACAGCAGGTCAAGCAAGTGAATGTCTTTAGTTGCAGCATTCAGAATGGAGAGACAGACTGATCTCTGTGAGTCTGAGCCCAGTCTGGATCTGTATAGCAAGTTCCAGGCCAGTGATAACTACATAGTGAGAATCTGCCTATAGATATATGCATTTAATAGAAGCATGTTTCTGACCAAAGCCTTGTATTTAGAATATACAAAGAAGGCCTAAAACTCAACAATAAAATGTCAAGCTGCAGAATAGAAAGTCAGCACACAAAACTGAATTGTATTCTTCTTTAATTCTATTTTTTTCTGTATTTGTTTTCTATAAAGGGGTGGGGACACATGATTTTACGTGCCACACTTTTACACAAAGGTCAGAAGATAATGTGCAGGATTAGTTCTCTCCCTCAGTCATGTGGAGTTTGGGGATTAAACTCAGGCCACTGGGCTTTGTGGTAATTGTCTTTACACACTGAGACACGTCACTAGCCTTGAATTGTATGGGGTTTTGTTTGTCCTTTGTTACCGTGTAATCTTGACCGGCCTGGAGAATGATATATAACTCAGGCTGGCCTTGAACTCACAGGGATCTGCCTGCCTCCCCCACCCCCAATCCCAAGTGCTGGGATTGAACTGTACTCTTTTACATGATATTTTTTAACATAAAGAGAAGTAATTCAACATTTAAAACAAGCAAATGGTTTGGACACATATTTCACAAAAGAAGACATATCTGTAGCTAGTAAGCACTTGAAAAGATACTTGACTTCATTAGTTTCTGGGAAAATGCAAATTAAAGCCTCAATACAATATCATTTCACTCCCCTTAGAACTGCAAAAATAAAATGTGAAAATAAACTGTGTAGACTAAACGTTGGTGAGGAGGTAGGGTATCTAGCAGCTAATATTTCTGGTAGTTTTAAAAAATGGTAATTCCTCTTTGGAGAGCCCTTGGGCAGCTTGTAACAAACTTAAATACATACATATGCCATGTCCCCAAAGAACTGTACTCTTGATACTTACCCAATAAAAAGGGGGATCCTTCATTCACAAAAAGATGTGTAGGAGAATGTTAATATTAGCCTAATTCATAACAGTCTTACACAGAAAACAAACCAAAAGTCCATCTGCATTAAGAGACTAGAGAGACAAATTGTGTTAAATGCACATAAGAAAATATAATCAGAGCCAGGCGGTAGTGGCACACACATTTAATCCCAGCACTTGGGAGGCAGAGGCAGGCAGATCTCTGTGAGTTCTGACCAGCCTGGTATACAAGAGCTAGTTGCAGGACAGCCTCCAAAGCCACAGAGAAACCCTGTCTCAAAACAAAACAAAACAAACAAACAAACAAACAAAAAAGGATTTAAAAAACCCCTCTGGTGATATATAATCTATCAAAATCTCACTCTCTAAAGTAGATCCCCCACTCAAGAGTAACACAAATTGTTTTCAATGTGCTTAAAAACAAATGAGTGAGAACATGAAGCTAGGTGGGTGTTGGGGAATATTACTTTAACTAGGTAAAGATGAGTTACATTTGTTTATGCTTCCTTTGTTTAACTATGTAAAGATGTGCTCTGCTGTTTTACCTTGCCTGCCTAAGGCACCAGATTGACCTAACAAAAAGCTGAATGGCCAAGTGAGGGACAGGCAGCACTGGCAGGCAGAGAGAATAGGTAGCAGGAGGAATCTAGACTCCAGAGAGAAGAGAACAAGGAAGATAGAGAGGGAGACGCCAGGGGCCAGGCAGCTAGGCAGCAGCCAGCCAGACACCGAGGAAGCAGTGAAAGCAGGACACACAGAATGAAAGGAGGTGAAACATGAATGAGGAGAAAGGGCTTAATTTAAGTTATAAGAGCTGGGGGGACAAGCATAAGATAAGGCCGAGCAGTCCTAAGGAATATTAAGTCTTCCTGTCTCGACTTGGGAGCTGGTTAGTGGCCCGAGAAAGTCTGCTTAGGTGGGTGGAGAGGTGGGGGTGAGTCTGGGAGGAGATGGGAGTGTGAGTATGTTCAGAATTAATGATATATGTTTTAAAGGACAAAAGCCACATTTTGGCTCATGTTTTCAGAGGTGTTGCTTTGAAGCTGATGGTGAGTTTGAACACCAGAGCACTGAGTGTGGAGCAACAGTGCTCATTCCTAGAAACCAAAGAGCGCGCCAGGGTTTTGGTCCCTCTATCTGCTTCAAGAACATGCTTCTGATAACCCAACGGCATTCTACTAGGTTCCAGCTCCTAAAGGTTCCACTACCTCCCAATTATGTAATGGCTGGCAACCAGACAGATGGCTCTTGGTCGGGGGGGGGGCTGGGGGGGTAGGTAAGATCAAAAGCATAGCAGCCAGTGACAATACAGACTTACACACCCACCCCATTCATGAATCAAACTTTAAAAAATCTGTCAACTCTATTACCTGTTGGCCAGTCAATAAAACAATGAAATGTTGGCTGGTTTGTAAGAGGAGAGACTGAAGAGGGTGGACACAGACAGAATTAGTAGATGTGTTTTCCCTGATAGAGACCGCTATACCACTGAATCCACCCACGACATTTATTTATTTATTTGTTGTTTTTGAGACAGTTTCTCTATATAGCCCTGGCTGTCCTGGAACTCTATCTGTAGAGCAGGCTGTCCAGGAACTCACAGAGATCCACCTGCCTTTGCCTCCTGAGAGTGCTGGGATTAAAGGCACGTGCCACCACTACTTGGCCCCGTGACTTTTTTTTTTAGATATCTTCTGCAGGAAACTCTGTTGTGTATCTAAAGACAGTGCAATCACCACACCCTCCTTTATATGGTGCTGGAGATTGAGCTGGTGATGGAACCCAGGTCTTTGTGCAAGCGCTCTGCTGACTAACCTATGATCCCAGCCCCCATCTATATTTTTATATGAAGTCTGAAAGATTGTCAAGGATGCAGCCACTCACTACTCATCTTTTGTTTTTATTTGGAGAGGAGGGGCAAAGCAAAGGAACAATGCTCTCCCTAGAACAGAACAAATTTTCAGCTCCCAAATCAGGATCTATTGGTACGATGCAAAATTAGCATGGTAAGACAAGACCAGAATATTCTATTTGAAAAAACAATCAGGTAAATCAGATTGGGAAATATCAGATTATATGATATATGTTTGTGAGACTCTTGTCTGCAAATGCATTGGCCTGGGCTTCCTATTCACTTGTTACAAAGTAAGCAACAAACTAAGCATGATGTCTATAAACTGAGCACTGAGGAGGAAGAGGCAGGGAGATGTAACTGGAGACAGCCTGGACTTCATAGTGAGTTTCAGATAATCCTCTAGGTACGTGGTGAGATCTTGTTTCAAAAAGAGGGTGGGAGAGCAAGAGATAGCTGGACATAATGACGCATAGCTTTAATCCCAGTACTCTCAGGAGGCAGAGGCAGGCGGACCTATATGAGCTCCAGGACAATCTCATCTACAGTGAGTTCTATACCAGCCAAGGGGCCCTGTCTCAAAAGAGCAAAACAAAACATTGGATATTCAGGGTTATCCGTGAGAGCATGATGGTAGGTATGGCTGGCCACTGCAAGTTACAACATTCCCTCAGATTGAATATTTTTGCTGCGAGAAGGAAGGGAAGACTGGTGAGCCCCAGGTAAACACAAGGTCACATGTCCTAGAGTACAGAGACTTGAAGGATGCTTGAGGGCTTTTACACTATAGAAAGCAGTAAACACTTGCTGAGGGTAGAAATTCTGATCTGCCAAATAGCCAAAAGAAATGTTTGGCCCCCTAGCTGCCAGCAAACTGCATACAGTTCCATGGTTCAGGTTTTCTGGGAGTCAGTGTCGTCCATTTTGTGGGCTTTCCTGGGATGCAGCTGCTTTGAGTTACTGAATTGGACATTGGTGCAACTATTACTTTGGTCTCATTAGTTCCCTTTCTGGGGTGAGTAGACACATGTCTCCAAAGGAAAAGTCTGTCACTCAACAGTAGCTGTTGTTATATACCAACTCAACTTTAGCTTAATTGTATTTAAAACGCACGGATATATATGTGTCTTAGGTCATGATAACATATAGATGGACTATGTATATATTGGAATGGAATATATATACTCCATTTGACATAGGGTTTCTATATCTCAGGATGGCTATGGACAGAAGATAAACTTCAATTCTGATTCCCTTGCCCCACTTCCCCAGTGCTGGGACATGTATATGCCTCTACACAGAGTTTACAGGGCTCTGGGGATCAAGCCCAGACCTTCTTCATTCATGCTTGTCAAGCAGTCTAACAACTGAACTACATGCCATTATAGAATGTATTTGTTACTGTTAACTAATAAAAGAAAGAAAGAGGGAGAGAAAAAGAAAAGAAACCAAGCTCATACACAGGTAAAGTATTATTTCTGTTTTCTGAAAAAGCAAGAAATGGAAGAGCCCATCCCTCCATGTACAAATGAGCACCTTTACACAACTATAAGACACATGACAGGAGGGAGGGACACAAAAATGTCAAGACTGACCAGCATTTGGTGTGGGACCGAACAATTCTGGAGGGTCTCTTCCACGGACTGCAATGTGAATGGCTCCCCCTGGAGTTGAGCAGTATATACGTGGTATAGCTCCACAAGGCAGCCCTTAAATGAGAAAGGAAAAAAAAAAGCCTCTGCAAAAAACAAAAGAAACAAAAGACCCAAACATAAAAAAAACACCCCCTTGCCTTATAAGTTATTTTGCCTTTCTCAAGCTTGATGGTAGTTAAAGTGTCACAATGCTTCCTTTTCTCCACCTTAAGACAGGGTCTTTCTATGTACTCATGGAACTTGCTATGTAGAGCAGCTGCCAAGATCCTCCTGCCTCTGCTTCCTCAGGTCTGGGATTAAAAGTGTGCACTACCACACCAGATTACAATGCCTACTTTTAAATTACAGAGTGAAATTATCCTATCTCAATGTAATGTGATTTTCTAATCATCCTGAATGTTTAAAAAGTCAACAATGTTATTTTAGACTTACTAATAAAGTCAATGTGTCATTGTATAACTTCAAAATTAGATAGAGTATACCTTTTGAAGTCTAACAAATTTGGATTCTTATCCCCATATAATCCCAGACTATACAACCTATGGTAGTTATTTAGTATCCCTGAGCTTCAATTTCTCCAAGCATATGTTATAGAGTCTTAGGACCTGGTCCAGTGCCCTGGAGCTCTCTCAATAAACACATTCACTAAGTGACATGAGCTAACACTAATCAGCCTTAGCATATGGCCTGAAAACCATCACACAGTAACGAAACAAGATCCAGAAAGGGTGTACAAAAGACCTTAAGCATCTGGTCATCTCATCTCACTAGTGCTAGCCCACCCTTGGGAGTGCCTTTTTTCCTTTCTTAATGAACTGTCTCAATTTTTTTTTAAACAGATGACAGTCTGAAGCAGTAATACTCTTCAGGATAGAAAGGTAGATACTGAGAGGACTTATTTTTCAAATAGCTATAAACAATACAGGGGAAAACAACAGATTTCTCTTTTATATTATTTTCTTGAGACAGGCCTCATTAGCCCAAGCAGAATTTTTATAAAAAATATATAAAAAGTAACTTTTTATGATCCTCCTGGTTTTACACCCCAAATATTGGGATTAGAGGTGAGTGGTGACAACCATGTGGAGTTTATGCTCAGCTGGGGACAGAACCCAGGCTGTAGTGCATGACAAGCAAGCACTCTCTACCATCCCCAAACAACACATTGACCTTCAGTCTCTCCCTCCGTCCCTCCCTCTCTCCCTCCCTCCCTCCTTCCCTCCCTCCCGCCCTCTCTTCCTTTCTCAGATTTTAAAAAGAATAAATCCAAACACAGCAGGATGGGGATAAGATTGAAGTCTGAGAGTATATTTGGAACGAGTAAAAAGAAGGAATTAGTCTATAATCCCCAGAACTCAGGAAGCTGCGGCAGGAGAATTTCGAGGTCAAGACCTACCTTAAGTACTTAGGGAGCCTGTAAATAATTTTTAAAATTTTAAGTGAGCAATGCACACATTTTGTTATTTCCAACTGCAGCCAAGTAAAAACGGAAATGTACTAATCACTCAAATACTTTTAAGGATATTTTCCTCAGCCATGAACCAAGCAACAGAATTGCAGTATTCACTCATGGGGGGGCACAAGAGAGGACATATGCTCCTTCCTCTGACAAAGCTTATTTCCTGGTGGAACTGTGGTTTTGAGGCAACCATGACAACGCTTCCAGTTTATTAGAGTCACCAGAAGGTCGTACCTCCCGCCCCCCCTCCCCAGCACATACCCAAGCCTCAGCCTCTGGTCCAGCTGCCCACCTCCTGGCAGGAAGGTGGGAGCATTCATTCTCTCCAGAGATTGATGATAACCCGCCAAATAACATCCGTCCAGGGAGGAGGGATGGATCTCTAAGCCCCAAAGTGAGGTCAGCCAGTGAACAGTTAGAAAAGCAACCATTTCTCACACTTGCTAATGGCTTTGACGCTTGTGAAACATAAACAGGAAGTGGGAGCTTGAGCGACCTGAAGGAAATGCACTCCCAGTTTGGTCAACATGTGAATCCCAGTTCTCCAGGTCGTCAGAATACTGCCAATTAAGACTGACCCCCAAAACTGCACCCCGTCCCAGCAGTGACCTCATCCCCCCCCCCAATTCCCCAGCCAGGTCACTCCGCAGCAGCAGGGTGACTGACCCCAAGCACGGTGGGGGGAAGGTTAACAGTCATCTCTCAACTCTCCGAATTTGCAGGGCAGGGGAGCGCAGAGGTCAGTGAAATCCCCAGCCAGGCCTCATTTTAGTCATCAATTTCCACTGGCCCCTTGCTGTGTGTCAGCGTAGCTCACAGCGCCGCAGGTTCTGCGTTTCAGATGCTTTCCCAGCTCCGGGCTGTTAGAAGGTCAAAGAGACCAGACTTTTCCAAGGCAGGTGGGGGGGCGGGGGAGGGGGAGGAGCTAAGCGAGATTGCCCAGACCTGGGGCCGCTGGAGCTAATCTTTGGGCCCCATGCACGGGCCTGCGAGTTAACCTCTACTACCTAAACGTCTTGGTTACTATTAAATTAAAACCTCATCTTTTATTCTCTGCTGGTGGCCCCGATAGACTTTCCGCTGAAGGCTGTCTTCTGATTGGCCTCGTTGGCTCCTTCCCAAGGTCCCTGTAAATTCAAGGTCAAAATCCGTGTTTGGTTCTCCACTGTCTCTAGCCGTGAGCACGACATCTGACAATGGGAAAGGGGCTCAGTGAATGTGTGCTTCATAAATGTGGAGATTTCACTCTGATAGGCCAAGAGGGTTTTTAATCTTTTTTTTCCTTCTTTCTCCTCCTGCCCTGGAATAGACCGTAAACAGCGCCACCCAAGTTCCTGGTTAGCGGCGGGATCCCATGCAGGCTGGCAGCCCCTGTGCGCGGGGGTCACAGCTTGGATGCCGGTGCAGAGGCTTGCAGTGAGCCGAGCTACGACCCGCGTCCGGGCCACGTGAAGCGTCACGCCCCGCGCTGCTGCAGGGCAGGCGCCGTCGCCGCGGTTGTGTAACGCCGCAGCCGGAGGGGAGGCGACCCGGACGCCTCTGCTCCGGAGGGGGCAGAGGAGGGAGGGAACGCCGGGCACAGCGCCCGGTATCTTTCTGTGCTTGACTAGCCAGGGTGGGTGGGGGCAGTGAGGCACCCTGAAAGGCGGGAGGAGATGGGTGCACGCCAGTCGGGTGCCGGGCCACCCGCAGGCTGCGCCCCGGAGCTGAGCTCCCGGGAGAGTGAGGGGCCGGCGCAGCTCACACGGTCCACGGTCAGGTGCGCGCGGCGTGCTCGGCGGCGGCCTCGGCTGCCCCAGCGCCTGGCCGCCTGCCCGCTTCCCATGGGGTGACATCCGCCCCGCCCTCGGTCCCTCCCCAAGGCGGGCAATTCCTGGACACTGGGGCGAGCGCTGGAGGGGGGGGCTGGGAAGCGGGGACGGAAAGAAACCCCAGCCTCTGGGGAAGGCCAAGAGGGGGACGACGACTCCCTCCGTTGCGCACCGGTTCCTAGGAGCGGGCCAGGCGGGGGAGGAGGAAGAGGGCTGGGCTGGAGCGACCGAGGGGATATTCCTCTCCCGGCTTGAGTCAGACGCGGGCGGATCCGTCCTCCCCCGTTCCCTCCCAGGAGACGGGAACTTACTTCATTTCCCTGGGGCAGGTTCGCCCACGTTACCAACTCCCCTCCCCCCCCCAGTTCCTTCCAGCTTCCGTGCCCCCCACCCAGCTGGGCAGGACTCAGGCTGCGCTGCCACCCCCTCTTTCGGGGAAAGGAGGCCGCAGCCGCAGACACCTGGGGCCCGAGGTTGGGGATGGGGGGGGCACTTCGCAGCCGCCAGAGCGTTGTCCAACACGTGAGACTCATGTGATGAAGCCGGGGGAGGGCGGGCAGGTCGCTCCTTCCCTCCCCGGCAGCGGCCAGACGTGCTTGGAGTCACAGGGTAGAACACGTAGCTTCTACCCACCCACTCGCTCCCATTTAACCCAGCCCGCAGCCTCTCCTTACTCCTCGGCTCGTCCCTTCCAACAACTGCTCCCCCCCCCGCTCCGCCCTAAGCAACCTCCCTTCCCTCCCACCTCCCCGCCCGCCCCACTTCTCATTCACTTGGCTCTCATCGCGCAGACAGCGCAGCGAGCACACACCGCCAGTCTGTGCGCAGAGCGGGAGCCAAAAGCCTCGGGGACACCCGGCCATGCACGCCCCCAACTAAGCGACGCCTCAAAGCCCCGGCTCCTGGCAGCCCAGCGCAGTGCAAGGGAGCTCAGGATAGCTCAGAGGAACATACCCCTTGAGACCCTCGGATCCTCCCTTCCAGGGCAGTCCTCCCTCAGACGCTCTGCTGAGAGTAGACAGGAGCGCGCAGTGGCCCCGGCTCGCCGCATCATGGAGCGAATCCCCAGCGCGCAACCACCTCCTACCTGCCTTCCCAAAGCGCCAGGACTGGAGCACGGAGACCTGTCAGGGTAAGTGTGCACTGTGACCCCATCAAGTCTCCGCTCCTAGCTTTGTATTCTGCGCCTCTCTCAACTTGGGGCGCCTCTGGGAACACGGGGATTCTTGCATCAATAGGGCTCCTGCAGCCAGTGCACACTCGGGAGTCACGGCTCTTTCTGGTCCCTCTCCCTACAGGATGGATTTTGCCCACATGTACCAAGTGTACAAGTCCAGGCGGGGGATAAAACGGAGCGAAGACAGCAAGGTAGGTGCATCCCTGGAGACCCCCATTCCCTAGCCCCTAGTGTGCGCTGAGTTTCCAAGAAAAGTTTGCTTGTTTGGAGGTTGACTGGGGGATTCAAGATGTGGTGAGCTCATTGTCACACCTGAGTGACTTGGGAAAGAAGAGACAGAGAAGGTGATTCTGGGTGCGTCTCTGCTCTGCGCCCTTGCAGGATTTTTTCCCTTGCTGCCGGGCGGGGAGGAAGGGAGGCTTCATGTTCTTTTTCCCGGGCACCCATCATTCCACGTACTCCTTGCAGGAAACTTACAAATTGCCGCATCGGCTGATTGAGAAAAAGAGACGTGACCGGATTAACGAGTGCATTGCCCAGTTGAAGGATCTCCTACCCGAACACCTCAAACTTACAGTAAGTGAGAAGCTGGCCGTGCTCCAGCCCAGCTCTTCTTCCCAGAGGGCGGGTGGGGGGTCACTCGCCGCCTGCAGGCGTCACGAGGAACTGCAGGCTAGACGGGCGGATCAAAGCTCCTGGTAGCTCTGGGTTGGAGGGAACCCATCTCCAGTCCCAGGACTTCCATGCAGAGGCAGAACCAGAGCCCTCTGAGGCCTCTTTTTGGCTCCAACACTAGCACAGCTCACTTTTGGTAATTTTCACTGCCTTGTTCTCATGACTTAAAGGCTCATCCCCCCCGCCCCCCCCCCACACATGCAAACACAAATTAAGCCCTTTTCCATCTTCCATCCCTAAGAGGACATACTCTAATGTGTGGGGTTTTTTTCTTTTCATTATATCCTTTACTAGTAGCCAAAAGCTTTCTTGCTTTTCTTTGGGAAAAGTATTTGGAAAGGAAGATAAAAAGCCTGTGTGACCTGAAGTTCTAAAAGGGTGTCAGGGAAACACACACACACACACAGGGAAAGCCTCCTGGTTGCCAGACACAGTAGACATCCCTCCCTGTGTTGTGACACCACGGCAAAGAAATGTTATCTCCGGAGTCCCCTGAGTTAAGGTCAGGGCAGCTGCTGGAGAAATCTATCTGTCAGCTCACTCCTGAGACTGTAACAGCTACCAAAAGGCCTCCAAAGATAGATGACACGTGTTTGGTTTTTTTTTTTTTTTCAATCCTTTGGTCCTCTATGTGTACATGTTAAAGCATCTGCAAACTTTAAATTTAGTAAAGCGGGAAAGGCCCTTCCTGTCCTGTGTTTGTTGTTGTTTACACCCAGCTCTCATAACAAATAAGTGTCTGCCTGTCTGCCGGGACTTCTCCGACCTCACGGGTGACAGAAGCTCTTTGTTTTTTCCCCCAGACTTTGGGTCACTTGGAGAAAGCAGTGGTTCTGGAGCTCACCTTGAAGCACGTGAAAGCATTGACAAATCTAATTGATCAGCAGCAGCAAAAAATCATTGCCCTGCAGAGCGGACTACAAGCTGGTGAGTGTTGGGTCTGATAGCATCTTCCAAGTGCTCCCTCAAATAGAGCCCTAGGCTCACTGTGGCTTCTGACCCTCCTGTCACCATTCACTTTTGCACATTCGTTGGAAGAGATGCTTTTTTATTCTTTCCTAGAATTAGGTCATACTTTTCTATTCGGAATGCCACTGTGTGCCACCTGGAATGAACACATATTAGTGATGAGATGTGACATTTTGGTCTGAGTGTGTCTAGGATCTGGGAGACTTCCCCGTTCCCCTTTAAAATGCCAAGACACCTATAATTTGCATTATGGGTGATTTACAGTAGATCTTCTGAGCCGTCGATCATGGGTGAGCAGAACACGGGTCTGCCCCTAGTGTTTTCCTGTTTCTTTGTTTCTTTGTCTTTGGATATGGGGTGCAGTCTTGACAGGATGACAGTAGTTTTTTTTTGGTGTTTTTTTTTTCCCTGTATTTCATTGTGGTTCCCTAAATAGCTACTAGGTATCTTGGCGAATTGCACAATCTAACGAAACCACTGGTTTCATCATTCATTTCTACGGAGTTTCAAAGGCTCACACGCACCTTCCTTCTCTCCCTTCCAGATCATACAGTACAGGCCAGGGGGAATCCTTACACATACCCCTCAGGCATTCTTCTCTGTCCTGGCCAAGGCCAATATGAGAATCAAGAAAACCAAGCAGGGTGTCTGCCAGTTTTCTTTCTAAAACTAGAAAGTTGATCAGAACTGATTTCCAGGGGAGCCATGGATACACTATGTGGAGAAGACTTAAAGAGCCCAGTCAAAGTTCACAGGGAAATGCAACTGTTTAATAGGTTAGGTTTCTGTGTGTACGGAAGTTGTTGGTTTTACTTTTGTGGGGGTTTTTTGTTGTCATGGTTCTGTATTGTTCTTGTTTTGAGACGAGGTCTCATTCTGTAGTCCTGGCTTTCCAAAAAACTCAGAGACAATCCTCCAGCCTCAACTTCCCAAGTGGTGGGATTGCAGGTGTGAGCTGCAACTTTTACAGCACGTGATGCATGCTTATAGTCTGTCACTTGGGAGGCAGAGACTCGCCAGCCTCTTTTGCATAGTGAATTCCAAGCCAACTGAGGCTAGTTAGGGAGACCTGTCTTTAAAAAATGTGGGTACGGATGGGGGGCAGGAGTCTTTAGGTGGTTTTGTCTCTATACTGTTTATGACTGCCCAGCCTTCTTCTTTCGTGAGACTGCTGCTGTACTGACTGAGGATGGGTGTGGTAGCTTTGGTCGTCCCAGCACTCTGAAAGGTTGAAGATAGGCTCAACATGAGATCAAGACCAGCCTGGTCAATCTAGATTAGAATGAGACTGCCTCAATTAAAAAAAAAAAGAAAGAATAAAAGAAAAAGTTTTAAATACATTAGCATGTCCACTTTTTTGTGTCACAAGAAAAACTGCAGATACTAATGTACAAGTCAACAAAAGTAGAGGTAATTTGTTCTATTACTATACAGACATTAAAAATCCTATTTGAGACAGTAGAATGTTCGAAGCCTAGTGATAACACCACTGTACTTATTATCAAAGCCCAGGCACTGAAGAAAAAAGTCCTGTGTCTAAGTAATAGGAATATATTGATTTCATTCTTTATACTTTTCTGCATTATTCTATAGACATACTACTTTTGGAGTTGGGAATGTAAGTGGGCAATTTTTTTTAACTAAAAGGAAACCCTTTTCAGTTTCCACACACCCTTCTAAAATCCTTCTTTCTGGGTCTTTCTCTCCAGGTGAGCTGTCAGGAAGAAATATTGAAGCAGGACAAGAAATGTTCTGCTCAGGGTTCCAGACGTGTGCCCGGGAAGTGCTTCAGTACCTGGCCAAGCATGAGAACGCTCGGGACCTGAAGTCTTCTCAGCTCGTCACTCATCTCCACCGTGTAGTCTCGGAGCTGCTGCAGGGTGGTTCTTCCAGGAAACCATCGGACTCGGCTCCCAAAGCCACGGACTTCAAAGAGAAACCCAGCTTCCTAGCCAAGGGATCGGAAGGGCCTGGGAAAAACTGTGTGCCAGTGATCCAGCGGACTTTTGCCCCCTCGGGCGGGGAGCAGAGCGGCAGTGACACGGACACAGACAGTGGCTACGGAGGCGAATTGGAGAAGAGTGATTTGCGCAGTGAGCAGTCGTACTTCAAAAGTGATCACGGTCGCAGGTTCACCGTGGGAGAACGCGTCAGCACAATTAAGCAAGAATCCGAAGAGCCCCCCACCAAGAAGAGCCGAATGCAGCTCTCCGATGAGGAAGGCCACTTCACTGGCAGTGACCTGATGGGTTCCCCGTTTCTGGGCCCCCACCCTCATCAGCCTCCCTTTTGCCTGCCCTTCTATCTCATCCCGCCGTCAGCAACTGCCTACCTGCCTATGCTGGAGAAATGCTGGTACCCCACCTCAGTGCCCGTGTTATACCCAGGCCTCAACACCTCTGCAGCAGCCCTCTCCAGCTTCATGAACCCAGACAAGATCCCGACCCCCCTGCTCCTGCCGCAGAGACTCCCTTCTCCCTTGGCACATTCGTCCCTTGACTCTTCCGCCCTGCTCCAGGCTCTGAAGCAGATCCCCCCTTTACACTTAGAAACCAAAGACTAAACTCTTGAAAGAGATCTCCTGCTGCTTCGCTTTTCTTCCTCCCTGATTCCAAAACCACAGAGGTCGGCCCTTCATGCAGACCCACCTAGAAGACGCAGAGGGTGTGTGTGTGTGTGTGTGTGTGTGTGTGTGTGTGTGTGTGTGTGTGTGTGTACTCGCGCACAGGTGCACACGAGTGCTTGTGTAGGTGTGTGTATAGGACATTAAGTTCTTTCTGACACAGGGAAGACATGAAAAGGATGACCTAACACCAGATGACAGGACTGTAGCAGTTCTCTGGGCCTTTCCCTACCCAGAGAAGAGCTCCCTTTGATACAAATCAGTTGGATTTTCAGAAGCTCAGAAGCTTGATCTGTGAGTCACTCTTCAGTTGGGGAGCTGGGTCTGTCTGTGGCTTTGAGAAAAGGTACTTTCAAAAGAGGGTTTCCAGAGCACAGCTTCCAGCCAGCTGTTCGGACCCCACCCCTCTCCCTTTATTGTCGAGGTGACTCAGAGCAGACTGACAGAGTGGTCAGGCGGAGCTTTCTGCTAAGGTGGTGAGGTAGCCAACACTGGCATGTCACCGTAGTGGTTTGGGCAAATTTCCGCAGGTCTCCTCCCCCACCCCGGCCTCTGATGAATAAAGACAATGAATGCAGTTCCCTAACTCAGGCTTTTGTGGCGATTAGCTTAGCTGAGGAACTGAAAATGGCCCCCTTTGTACAAGCTGAGCTGCTAGGGAACCAAGGTGGACCTGAGACAGGAGACCCGAGGCACCTGTTCTCTAGGTCTCCCTTCTATGGCGAGCTGACCAAAGGAGGGCCGCAGAGATGGCAGATGCCCTAAGCATCCCAAAGTGTACAAAGCTAAATAATCCGTTGCTACACTTACTACTCGGCTAGACTCGGATTTCAAGTCCATCCTACAGCTTTGAAGCAAGCTGAGCTTCTCAAAGGTCTAGCAGAGCTTTGGTACCCCAAGATCCTTTCTGTAGGCTAATTCCTCTTGCCCGGCAGCGTATGGAGTGCCCTTAACTGCTAAAAAGGATTCTGTCTCCTTTAGGGAAGTTTTCCTTTATCCAGAGTCCTTGTTTTCTCGACTTGCTCAGCCAGCCCTGCACCAGCTTTTCCAAATGCACTATGCTTGCGTTTAAACTTTTCCCATTTTTATTTGGGCATAAAAATCGTTGCCTTTATTTGTAAAGCTGTTATAAATATATATTATATAAATATATAACAAAGGAAATGTTTCAGATGTCTATTTGTATAATTATACTTGATCTACACAGTGAGAAAAATGAATGTATTCCTGTTTTTGAAGAGAAGAATAATTCTTTTTCTCTAGAGAGAGGAGAGGTTACAGTGTTTATATTTTGGAACCTTCCTGAAGGTGTGAAATTGTAAATATTTTTATCTAAGTAAATGTTAAGTAGTTGTTTTAAAAATACTTAATAAAACAATCTTTTTCCTGTGGAAGACAAATGGTATCCTTGGTTTTAAAAATAACTTGGTGTCATGGTTTGTCATTCTCTGGCCTGAAGACTTAATCTTGGTATAATTGCATTCAACTTTTCATGTGCCTGGCATTGTGAACAAGCCAAGGCCATGGAGTAGATAAATGCTGGATTATTTTTACTTCATTCATTCATTCACTCATTCATTCATTTTAAGGCAGGGTCCCATGCTGCCATCACATTTGCTATGTAGCCAAGGCTGGCCTTGAATGGGTCTCCCTGTCTCTACCTTCTAAATGCTGGGATTACAGCCAGGCCTCCTGGAGTAATAGCAGAGGCATGCTCCCACCACACCTGGTTTTATGTAGTGCTGGGGATTGAACTCGGGGCCTCACACATCTTAGGCAAGCACTCTACCAACCGAGTCACATCCTCAGTCTTTATTGTTTTTTAATGGACTCTTGTGAGGGATATACACCCACTCTATGCAGATGTAAACGACACCCACTCACCCCAAGCAGCTTTGGAACTTCATGGGAGAACCCAGAGTCTGAGCTCATGGTCTGGAGTGTCTGGGGAAGCGGCGGTGGGGCTATACACACTGAGGAAAGATTTAATGGGTTATTAAGCAATAATAATTGGTTGGACATAGTGCCTCTTCGAGAAGGCAGGTAAAGCTTTGAAATTTAGCAACTTCTAATGGATTCCCCATATCCTGCATCAAGGTTGGTAAAAGCAGCGTTCACAAGTGTTTTCTATGGTCTTCCAACTTCCTCTCCGGGTGAGTGCGGGAATGAGTATCAGTGCTCTCGTATTTAAAAATAATAATTAGGTGGGAAATGACCCAGCTGAGTAGTTTAGCTTTCTTCCCATCATCTTGATTTGTCCTGAGGTTTCCTGATGGACATGATCCAGGCCCCAGAGCATATGAATCATCCAGAATTGTCTAGCTGTCTGGAGTACTCCCCTACAGGGAAGCCAAGCCCAGGGGATTCTCAGCACCACCTGCACTGGAGGGCCTTTCAAATGTCACCTTCTCTGACTCCTGGGGGAACGATCTGCAAATGAAAGTGGGTGTCCAGTATAGTCAGTGCTGGATGAAAGGGCACAACTGTCCCCAAGCCACACAGTGCTGGGGCAGGAACCTGGCGTTCTATCAAGACCCTCCCATGCCTGTTCCGGACTAGACACTTAGGGATTCCAATCTCACACTACCCTATGGCCCTGATGGTCCCTAAGTCCTGCCTTAGGTAGTCCGCCCTTGCAGCCTCCTGCCTGCTAAGCCCACCCTGCAACTCTCTCCCAAGCTATGACTCAAGGAGTAGCTGCGGACAGCAGGAAGTGGTTCGAGCACCCTGAACTAAGAATAGATTTGAGGGTTGCACAGGCTGACAACCCAGAATGTCTCTTCTAGAGGCTGCCATGTGAAGTCCCCCAGAGGTGCAGCTGCCCGTCTGTTTTTCTGCTTCCAGAGTGTCCTGAACTTTTCTAAGCAGGGTTTCAGGAGATGATCCAAGGGTGTTCAGGAAGGTGTGTGAAGTGGCTCACGTCCCAGCCTTCAGCCCGGTTGGGGACAAAGAAGGCCTCTGTTTAAAAGGGTGTTTGTGTGTGTGTCAGCCTCGAGGGGTGAAGTGTGTGTGTGTGTGTGTGTGTGTGTGTGTGTGTGTGTGTGTGTGTTTGCGGGGGAAGCCTCGGGGAGGGGGGTGAAGCATAGACTCTGGGGCCCAGGAGCGCAGAGGCCTGGGATCTGGCCGCCTTCAGACAGGGCGTGCTCGGCAGGGCTGCCGGGATGGTCTCACCCAGCGCTGACCTGCCGCGCCTGTTGACACGACGTCACGTTTCCGACTGGAGCCTTTCATGTGCGGCCCGCGGCTAAATGTGGCTGCCGGTTCCTGGAAGCAGACGTGCCTGGCACCGCGTCAGCAGAAACCCGATCCCCGGGGAAGCTTGGCAAGGCTTCGGGATCGCTCGGTCCCCAGAAATAGGGCCTGGCTGCGGGCAAGGCCGCGGCCCCCTGGTGCGTAGCGGGACGGAATCCGAGGGCAGGGAGGGGAGGGAGGACAGGGTAGGGCAGGAGCTGGTTTCAGGCAGAGCTTTGGATCCTGGGCCTAATTAACACGGATTGACAAGCTTCCCATGGCTCATCCCTCACTAATGCAGCCCTCACAACCCAGAAGTCATACTAATACATTCGGTAGATAAATAAAAGCAGGCGCAGAGGAGAGTTTGCCCGTGGTCAACAAGCTTCGGGATGGGGTGGTTCTGGGGGTTTTATGGAACTGTTAGAATCAAGAGGCCAGCTTCTACAGAGCCTACTCCTGAATCATGGCTGTAGCACTTATATTTGCCAGGCTGGCACTTCTCAGAGCACTTGCCATACAAGGACATAATGATCACAGCACCTGCATGGAGTAGGTACAATTGCCATGATTCTGAGAATGAAATGACGACACAGAGAAGTTAAGTAACTTGCTCAGAGTCACACAGCTCCAGCAGTAAACTGCAAATTAAACCTAAGCATTTAGGCTGTGGAGTCTGTGGCTTAACTACAAAACTGTGTTGTCCTTGTTACATTAACAACTTAAAAATGGTAAAAGCAGTAATAATCATAATTATTACATTATTTTGAATATTTTCCCTATTCTAGGATTTTTATTAGGCATTTTATGTGACTCTCTGGTTTCTATTTTTTGAGACAGGGTCTCATGTAGCCCAGGCTGGCTCTATCCTCCTTGTAGCCAAGAATTTGTCACTCTTCAGTGCCAGGATTAGAGCCATGTGCTGGCTGAATTCTACTTCTTGTAGCAGCTGTGGAGACTGGGCAATAATATGCCACTACCCCTACTTTTAAAACTTAAAATAAGGCCTCAAACTCATGATCCTCCTGCCTCAACCTCTGAATTCGAGGATTAGGCTATGTCCACCGTGCCCAGTTAAAACAATTAAAACAATTTTTAAATTGCATTTACTTATGGAGGGAAAGTATGTATTATGGTGCAGGTATAGAGTTCCGAGGACAAATTGTGGGAACTGTTCTTTCCTTCCATCTTGTGAGTCCTGGGGATTGAACTTGGCAACAGGCTTGGCAGCAAATGGTTGAACCCAGTGAGCCCTCTTTCAAAGAGTGTTTTCCCATTTATTTTTACATTATGTACTGGAACTGGAGTTAGGTGCTGAGAACCGGACTCCAGTCCTCTGAGAGAGCAGTCAGTACTCTTAACCACTGAACCATCTCTGTAGCCCTCTGTTTTGTTGTTTGATCGATTTTTGTTCTTAACATGCCTCTTTTACAAATGGCAAAAGTGGAGCTCAGAGGTGTTACCTGAGGTGGCCTACTGTGTTAGGGACAAGTCATACCCTCTCTCAAGTTCAAGTTACTTTTTTGTTTGTTTAGTGTTTTGAGACAGGGTTTCTGTGTAGCCCTGGAACTCATGCTGTTGACAAGGCTGGTCTTGAACTCAAAGATCCATCTGCCTCTGCCTCCTAAGTGCTGGAATTAGAGGTGGATAGATGTCTACTGAGAGAATCATGCTACCAAGCTCAGAGCACAGTCCAAAACCTCATCCAGTGCCTTACATTACATGCCCTCCCACTCCATCGTGCACTCAAGAACAGACCGTTGCCTAGGGAACTAAAGCACAGAGTCCCAGGGCTGTGCACACCTGTAATCCTAACACTTGTCACATTACAGTCTGGAGGACCACTGGGTATCTCCTGGACCCCTAGAACTCCTAAAGGGCCCCCCAAAGAGACAGAATGTGTTGAGTTCATTTGTGATTTCATATATGGACTATATGTCTCCCGAGACACAGCCTTCCCAGGGGAACCTGCAAGGCCAGAGGGAGGAAGGCTTTTAGGCTTCTTGATGCTACCAAGGAGCAACCCCTCCTGTGTCCTGGACATAGCAGCATTTTCTTAAAAAAAGAATTCTGCTGCTGAAAAACTATCACTAAAGAGTTCGGAAGGTCCCAGAATATGTCCCCTTCCCTCTGTCACCTAGGATTCCAAGGGAGCTCAACTGCACCGGCCATCCCTACACCCACTCAGCACCACTCCCTGTTTCTCCCAAGCCATCTGCCTGGCTGCCTACAGTCTCTGAACATGAGCTGGCAGAGCACCTCCCTTTGGCAGTGGAAGTCCTGGTGTCCCTGCGGGGCCATCCTATCTTGTGATGTGACTGGCTGTGGGCCCAGACGGTGTCTTCTCTTATAGACAGTCCCTCCCTTCCTGGGTGAGCCTCAGCAGAGTAATGGAGGAGAAGCATGAGAGTGGGCTCAAGGACTCTGGAGACAGGATCAACCTCAGGCTGGCACCAAGGGCACGTGACACCAACTTCTGCTGCCCCCATCGTCCTGGTCCTGCCTCCCCACCACACACAGTTTTCCGGGGACAAAAGGAAGGAAACATGTGCTTGTTTATTTGTTTAAGGAGACTTTTTTTAGAAATCCCAATGTGGTGGCTAATGCCTATAAGCTCAGCGCTTCTGAAGCTGAGACAGTGGAATTGTTAAGGGTTTAAGGCCAGCCTGGGCTATAGAGTTAGACCCTGTTTCAAAAAACAATAAAGAAAAAAAAGAGAAAGAAAAAATAAAGAAAATCAATCATGAAGGGTTGGGGTGATGGTGATTATGCAAGGATCTTAGGACGTGTTTCTCAACCAACGGTTCTCTACCCTTCTGGGGTGTCAAAGGACACTTTCACAGGGGTCACCTAAGACCACCAGAAAACACAGACATTTATATCACGATTCATAACAGTGGCAAAATTACAGTTATGAAGTAGCAACAAAAATAATTTTATGGCTGGTTGTGTGGGGGTCACTACAACATGAGGAACTGTATTGAAAGGTTGCAGCATTAGGAAGGCTGAGAACCGCTGTGGTAGGAGAACTCTTCAAAGAGAAAGATAAAAGAAAAGAGAAAGAATGAGGGAAAGAGGAAGAAGGAAAAGAAAGAACAAGGAGCAAGCAAACAGTGTAGCTTAATTGGTAGAGAACTTGGCCAGTATGCATAAGACCCTGGTC